ATATATATTCTATATTATATATTCTATTCTATTATAATCTATTCAATATTATATATATTCTATATTATATATTTATATATATTTATATACATTTTATTTATATAGACTTATAAATTACTATCTCCGAACTAGCTTTTGGCATTTTACATGAATCCTGTAACGTATTCTCCAGAATTCAGAAAGTGCTATAAAGAGTTGATTACCATTTGTAATGACCGCTAATCAAGATTTTAGAAAGGTGATTCAATACATGATAATTAGAAGATTGTATGTAGTTAAACATAATAGATGCATGAATCAGCTGTAAAATGAAACCTTGTTGGTTGACTAGGTTTTCATTAAGTGATACACATAAAAATAAAGATAAAAGCGATCGGTGTAACAGAACACCGTACGATTGAAGGGTAGACAATCACGAAACGAGCAACGAATTCGCGAGAATCATCCCCTGCAATCATATTGCCAGTTCGTAGGACATAGAGCTCGATGTTGTTGCTATGTATACGCAAAAGTATTCATTTGCTGTGAACATATAGAACCAGCTTGACATGATTGGAGAATTCATCTAATTCGTCCACTTTCTATTCACTCTATTTACAACGTACGATTTCAACGTTTAATAACTTTTTTTATTTCTTCGGTATAATCATTATTCTACACTTCATAACTTTTTAAATATACAATTTTTTTTTATTTCGACTTAAGCGAAATATCTACTGCTACAAAATATTCGACAATCTTGAAAATCACAGAAGAAGGGAAATTAAGCACCTGACAATTTACTGTTTTATGATTATTCCTTGTTATTAGGTTTATTAGTTTATTAGTTTATCATTACTGGTTGTTACTTGACTTAACTGTTTTTATTTCTTTGGTATAATCATTATTCTACACTTCATAACTTTTTAAATATACAGTTTTTTTTATTTCGACTTAAACGAAATATCTACTGCTACAAAATATTTGACAATCTTGAAAATCACAGATGAAGGGAAATTAAGCACCTGACAATTTACTGTTTTATTATTATTCCTTGTTATTAGGTTTATTAGTTTATTAGTTTATGATTATTGGTTGTTATTTGTTATTCGTTTTTCACGTATGCAGTGCGCATAAAGTGAACAATAATTTTGAAAGCGTATTTAGCCTAGGGAAACTTGGTTCAACTTAAGTTCACCTAGACATATTCAATTGTGTGACCAGGCAGAATACCAGTTTCATTCTTCGCGTGCAATTATATTGTCTACGTGTCAACAGAGAAAATATGAAATCCATCGAGCAGTCTGATAAGACTCGAGCGATCTGGCTATTCGTTATTCTGATGGATGTGTCAGCATTTCACTGGGCTGCTTTCGTTGGCGTGCTCAGACTTAAAAAGAACGACAAAAAGGTAACGTCTTCCTTTTTCTCTTTTCCTCTTCCCGAGTGACAATATTTTAGTACGCCTCTATGGACTCACTTACTTTCATGCACGAATTGCATCGGGCATTTTAATCTCGTTTCGATTATCATTGCATACGTGCAATTGGAGAAAATACGCCAGCGATTGTCAGCTTTTTAAAGATAATCTTTAATGAGCGAAAGAAAGTTAAATAATTCGGAGCAAGCATAATGAAGAACTTATAAAATTTCGATTCTTAATGATCAGAAGAAAGTTGAACAATTTGGAGCAAACATAACGATTAAACGTCAATTTGAAGAAACAATTTTATTAAGTCAACTTTATTTCTTGACCAATTTCATTAAATACTTTATATTATTTATTTTCTTGGCATTTATATTATCAATTTATGTATTTATATGTACTTTACATTGTTTATGTTATTACTATATTATTATAAGTAATAATGTATTATTTATTAATGTAAGCATTAATACTTTATATTACTTATTTGGCTAACATTTTTAGGATTTTACTTCAAATCCAATTTATATGTGACTAATAAACTACAAATACGTTCTTGTGATATTATATTTTAATTTTGTATCACAAAAGAGATAAATATCGAGCAAAAGTTTGTTTCAATTATTAAGACATTAATAAAAGTAAGAAATAAACGAAGTCTTGTGAACTGCTATGAAAATATAAAAACACAAAAATCAAAATCAAAATTGCAATTTTTCAGTGTTACGTTTCCGAACTTAAAACTACAAAATTTTGGAAAAAGTGATTACATCGCTTCCAACAAGTTCAAAAATCCAGTGATTAGTACATGTTTGTGGAAACTATGAACGACATTTCAATTACCAAAATCACAGAAACCGACATTCGAAACGGAAAAACTAGAATGTACATGAATAATAAAGTTTTACGTGGTAAAAGTTAAAAATTGTAAAAAGTCTGCATCGAAAGCATGGCTTTTGCAACTGGACAGAGGTAGCTAACGGAATTTTCTTTTCGGAATGATATATTTCGAGTAAACCTTGAACTTCCGTGTTCACAGAATCGAATGTTCCCCTGAGAAATAGATTGCAATTTTGGGAATGAAAAATCACGGAGTGGACAACGTTCTCCCGTGCCACGAAAAAGGTGGGAGTCGGTATAAAGAGAGGAAATACTCGATGGTGATGGCCAGTGAGTTCAGTGAGAGTGCCGTGATCCTTTTACCGATCTACCGTGAAAGTCAACGATGAAGGTACGCGTCCCAAGATCATTGTGTGCAGAATTCCCCTTGCAGCACGTGTGAAGTGTTCGCTTTTCCCAACGACGATTTAATCCCTTGTTCTTTCGACTCAAAACAACGTTCAAATCTTCTTCTTCACTTCGCGTCGCCCTTCAACGCTTTTTAATCGATTCTTCGTGCGACAGAGTCGAAAGAATTGCAAAGTGATGTTCAGTATGAGTCATCTTGTACGCTTCTTTTGTGGCTGGCTGGTTGTGGTCCGTTCGAGAATCGTTGCGTCCGTCACCCCCACGTGAAAGTAAAACACGTTCCGTTCATCATCACTCGCACCTTCTACGCGCGACAATGGAGAAATTCGCACTGTAGCTCTCATTTACCTTCGCACGAGTGGGAATCTAAAAGTGCAAACGAGGATCTTATTGTCGGTGGCGAGCGGTCGTCTACCCAGTGCAAATTATATCCGTTTTTAAAATGGCTAAGGACGTCTTAATCCACAGAGTTTCTTCTCTAATTTCTTATTCCAAACCAGGCACTTTAATCGTAAACTCTTACACGTAATTCATATATATTTTTCTTTTCTTTAATTTTCTCATATTTAGTGCAAAAATTGATTTAACTTCATAATTGAGGAAAAGACGTTTCATACATTTGTGACAAAATATTTTAAGAGTCCTGCAGCAAACGAAACACATGTTAACATTTAACAATTTAAACAGCTGATCTTTATAGTAACAACGTGGCTGACTATGCGTAGGAACGTTTATAACTTTATTTAGCAATTTTATGCAACTTAGTTTTTAATATATTTCCATGAAATATATTAGTTTATTTCAAACTCCGACGAAACATGTAAATATTTGAATTAATTTAAACAACGACTTTTTTTCAATTCGGACCAAAATAGATTCAGACGTCGCAGTTCGAGTGTTAATCGCAAAAACTTTCTTCTGTTCGGCTGCATACTATTTGCAGCACATTCTAAAGCTCTCTGCACGGTGAATGAGACATAAAAAGTTGATCCTGCAGCTTATGAATGTACATGAATTTAGATAGCTTTACGATTGACTATTTTCATTTAATAATTTTAGAAAGTACGGTTTATTCAGTAAAAGTAACGAATTAAATTGTTCGATCTGATTCGAAAATTTATAGGTCGTTCGAATAATCGATAAAAAAAATGTAATTATTTCGTAGTTTTATTTTTGGTTAACGAGACGCAGGTCTCAGGAATGAAAACAACTCGCGTTTTTGTGCTTCCGTGAGCTCGCCGGAGAAATGAATACCTATTTCCGTGAAAGTTGGCATGAATTTGAATAAATTCAAACGGACGTGGAAGTCAAAGGTTCTAACGAACGGAAGGAAAGTCGAACTTTGTTTGAGGTGTAAGGAAAGTTGCGTCACCGGTGATGGAAGGAGTTCGCTAATTTGGACTCGCTAATTCCGGTTGACCGGAAGTAATCTTCGTTAGCCGCGGCGCTCTGTGATGATACCTTTTCCCAAAATGTTTGTACAGTTCACAATTTAACACGATTTTCGTATAAATCGACACTCTTATGTTTCCGAGATTGCTGAATCTGAATATATTATCAAAAATGCGAAATTCAAACTGAGAGAAATCAGACACTAGTGACACAAGGATTGTTTCTAAATTATTTTTTGTGAATATTAATAATTCTTTGATATTTAGCATTTTTATATGCATATTTATATAATTTTTATATAATATTTAGCATTTTTATATGCATATTTATATAATTTTTATATAATATTTATATAATATTTATATAATATTTATATAATATTTATATAATATTTATATAATTTATATAATATTTATATTTAGCATATTTATATAATTATACAAATATATAAATTATATAATTGTTCACTGAGAGCGTTGATAGGCACTACTTGACACTTTCAAATTAAATATCTTAAAAATAGGCAGAAACGGGGTAAATTTTTTGATTAACTATCGTAGTTGACATTTCACTTTAGCGCTAAACCTTCCGGGTATTAAAAACAACTAATTTACACTGTTTTATAAGAATGACAAGTATGAATACATTTCAACTTCTCGCCACTTTTATTATAATGAATGCTTAAATTAACCAAAAAGCGATTGAATTGTTTTCTTTTAAAGAGTATTTATAAATACAACAATTTTAAAATAAAACATGTGAAACCAGTCATTTTGACCGGCCTGGCAGATTTGGTATTAAGTTATGAATCTTGTTAGAGCAGGTGTATCGATGACTATTACAGTTTTTTTATCAACCGCTATATTATAACATGACAACTACTTAGAAGATATTGAGTAGGGCAGCACAAGATTTAAGTAAAAATATTTTGCGTCACTTACGTGTAAAATTCGGATTTATAACATATATTTTCGTGGTAAAATGTTTCACAAATGATTTCTTTAAGGACAAACTTTAACTTGACACATTAAAGGCGCCACAATTTTTAAGACATTAACAAGTACGAGAATTTGTCAACGGCATTTGTTGCTCTGATACGCGTACAACATACAGTGACCCGCATTAATATTCGGACACCTTTTAAAACAAAATAACATTTTTTTAAATTGAACGAAATGACTTAAAGTTTCTGGGGATATTACTGGACGACAGACTACTTTTTTAACATTTTTCTGTTACTTGGGATGATACAAAAATAGAAAACGCGCGTTTCTTTTTTAACCTTTTCATCATACCAAGTAACTAGAATTTCATCAAAATCAGTCAAGCTACAGGTATTACAAGATGTAAAAATTNTTTATATAATATTTATATAATATTTATATAATATTTATATAATATTTATATAATATTTATATAATTTATATAATATTTATATTTAGCATATTTATATAATTATACAAATATATAAATTATATAATTGTTCACTGAGAGCGTTGATAGGCACTACTTGACACTTTCAAATTAAATATCTTAAAAATAGGCAGAAACGGGGTAAATTTTTTGATTAACTATCGTAGTTGACATTTCACTTTAGCGCTAAACCTTCCGGGTATTAAAAACAACTAATTTACACTGTTTTATAAGAATGACAAGTATGAATACATTTCAACTTCTCGCCACTTTTATTATAATGAATGCTTAAATTAACCAAAAAGCGATTGAATTGTTTTCTTTTAAAGAGTATTTATAAATACAACAATTTTAAAATAAAACATGTGAAACCAGTCATTTTGACCGGCCTGGCAGATTTGGTATTAAGTTATGAATCTTGTTAGAGCAGGTGTATCGATGACTATTACAGTTTTTTTATCAACCGCTATATTATAACATGACAACTACTTAGAAGATATTGAGTAGGGCAGCACAAGATTTAAGTAAAAATATTTTGCGTCACTTACGTGTAAAATTCGGATTTATAACATATATTTTCGTGGTAAAATGTTTCACAAATGATTTCTTTAAGGACAAACTTTAACTTGACACATTAAAGGCGCCACAATTTTTAAGACATTAACAAGTACGAGAATTTGTCAACGGCATTTGTTGCTCTGATACGCGTACAACATACAGTGACCCGCATTAATATTCGGACACCTTTTAAAACAAAATAACATTTTTTTAAATTGAACGAAATGACTTAAAGTTTCTGGGGATATTACTGGACGACAGACTACTTTTTTAACATTTTTCTGTTACTTGGGATGATACAAAAATAGAAAACGCGCGTTTCTTTTTTAACCTTTTCATCATACCAAGTAACTAGAATTTCATCAAAATCAGTCAAGCTACAGGTATTACAAGATGTAAAAATTTGCAGATGTCTTACAGTTATCAGTCGAAATTGTAGAAAATCGTGAAAAAACTGCGATCTTCACGATGTTTAATTGTCTCTAGCTCGTAACAACGTCAACCGATTTCAATAAAATTTTCAGCATTTATATTACTTCCAGAGACCTACAAAAGTTTTCGTAATAAGCTCCGGTAAAAATAGTTGAAAAAAATACTAGTTTCTTATTTTGTTTTCATTCCAATTGCAATTTAAAAAGAAGTTTTTGTAGACATTGACCAGTCTCTCTAAAATCTCAACGAGATACAAGTCATTCCATCCACTTTCAAGAAAGTTATACTGTTTTAAATTGTGTCCGAATATTAATGCGAGTCACCGCATGTGTACCACAGCAGCTTTTTGCTGCTATGTATTCGACGCTTTGGTCAATTTTTGGGAAAGAGTACCATCGCGCGCCGTTGTTCGTTCGGGAAACGTAGGTTTCTCTCGGGAGAATCCGAGCGTGCATCTTCCGGTACTATTTTTACGCGGTGCGGGTTTATTTGCCGCTCTTTTTTAGAAATCGTGGCGATCGTGCATGCCCGAATGCTCTAAGTCGAACCGAACGGCTGGAACTAGGTTAAACATTGACTCTTCCAAGTGCAAGACCAAGGACGCGCCGATCACTTTCATCCGTCGCAGGAAATCCGAGCCGCTCGATCGCGAAAACACACGGGAATATCGCGATAAATCTTACCTTTCTGACTAACCACACTTCCGGTTTCATCTGGACCGTTATTTCCTGAACAATCTCCGGTTGAAACGCGCTCCCAGGCTGTTATACTTTCAATTTCACTGCAAGCGCGGCAAAACGTTCATTATCCACTAGTGGAATACGCATAACACCAGCGCGTAACGTCTGTTCTCGAATGTTAATCGAGATTTCCGCAAGTTTCATTCCAGAGATAATCGAACAATTCAGTCGCTTGAATATCCGAGCAACAATTGAGAGTAAATCTATGATACAGCATTTTCACTTCCACAGGTAATTGCAGCCTGTGTCTAAAAGTGTTTTGTAATCTCTTTTGCAGTTAAACAGGTTTTAAGCGAGCGAATTTAGATCGATCGAGATTTCTACGGTGGCCACTCCACAGAGGATGAGGCGTTATTCGTATTTTCCACTCGGAGAAGGGAAACTGTTATGATAATAACAGGGGCACCGCGTGTGTTTCATGTAATTGTAACTTGCAAATATAACAGAGAAATTGTTAGAATTCGTCTGTTGCGAATCGTAACGATCCACAGTGATTTGTAACCTTCGTGAGACCATAAATGTTACACGTTGATTTTCTGTCTCAAAAATGAACGTTCTAAAGTAAAAGTTCAATTTCGGCAACGTTAATTCTCCAATGCGTTTGTTCCGAGTAAACATCGTCGACATACTAATATTTCTCAACGTTTCTTCCTACCGTTAATTGATTTTAATATAGTTGTCTTAATTGCTAAATCCTTTGCGTTAGAAAATTTCTGAAAACAAAGAGAGAAATATTTTCTGCGGAAACTAGAGCGGAAAATATGAAGATTTCATTCCGTGTCGGACTTCCAATGTGTGCCGGGAAATTTCGAGAACCTTGGTTTCCGCTTTATAATATAAAAAAGAAAATGAAATTGCCATCAACTTTCCGTATGCAGACGCGTTTCATCGTTTTGTCGCCATCAATTTCTTCGTTTCTTTTTCTTTCGATATTGCCCGTGAAACCGGCAATTTTCTGACAAGATCGTTGTTTGCCACGGTCACATACATGGGCATCTTCTAAAGCGGAACCCTACGGCGCGCGTCCTCGTGTGACTTTCACCATGAACCGCTCCACTTGCTGCATTCACGTTACTATGCTCCACGCCCGACTGGTTTATAAATTCACGGATATGTTACGGCACGTTTTGTCGTCACACTAATTCATTGTTCAATAAACACTTTTAGGGCACCCGCAATTTTCACAGCAATCGCTGAACGATCCGGATACCATCGATAATTGTTTATGGTGTACGTAACCATAACGTGAAAAAGTGTTATTCAATGCGACACGGTGCTGCGTTATTCAATGATGCGAATTCTAGCAGGAAGACATTTATCCGTCGAAGCATTACGTTTATTTGCAGTTTACGAATTTTGTTGCTGGACGATCACGTGTCATTAGATAAATATTTCTTCTTACAGTGTGGAGGACTTATTAGTTCATTGTAGTAGTTTAAATCATTACGTATGAAATGTGTACTGTTTGAAACGGTAGTTTAATACGTTTATATTTAAAAAGTGCACATTCAAATAAGTAGTTCAAAACACTGTACTTGAATGAGTTGTTTAAAACACTGTACTCAAATTTTTTTAAAACATCATACTTCAATAAGTAGTTTAAAGAGCTACATTTGAAAAATGCTCTCTTAAATGTTAGTAGTTTAATGCATTACGTTTAAAAATTGTATATTTAAATAAGTAGTTTATAATGTACTTTCAAAGGAGTTGTTTGAAACGCTTCATTTGAAATGTGCAATTTTAAAAAAGGTAGTTTAAAACACTACATTTAAAAAGTACACTTTCAAAAAGTATTTTAAAACACTACATTTAATAAGTTTGCAGTTTCAAAGAAGCGTTTCTCACACACGTATTACATACTTACGCGGACATATCCCTTTATATACGTAAAAAGAACAAATATGTATATACAATAAACAGTAACTATAGTCTTCACGCGATAAGAAGACACCTCTGTGTTTCCATGCCCCCCCTAACTAGCTGCTTCACTGCCGCAGCTAGTAAGAGGGGGAATATAAACTCAAAGGTGCCTTCTTGTCACGTGAAGACTATACATACGGTTAATACAACGAAATTGAAGTTTAAAAAAGCACCTTATAATCCTTTTTAAGAAAAGGATTAACCCTTTCGCTACGGCAGCTCCATCCGCCGAAGCACCGTCACCGAACGGAAACTCGCTCCGGAAATATGCACGGCGCGCGTGGTTTCTGTATATGTGTTGTTCAAGTCTTGAATAATAACTGTGCCGAATAAAACAATCGTTGCTCTGATGTGACAAGTATATTTACATTTTTAATTTAAAAAGGCCAACGTCGCAATCTTTGCACTCGTACCGCGAATCCGTTCTTTTATCATTTTTGCTACAAATTACACATCCGCGTCTTCTGTGTACACTTCATTTCGATGCCGCATATATGCGGCGCTCG